TAATAAATAAATTACTAAAGACAACAGTAATACTCCAGGACCTATAGACATCAGCATAATTCAGAAAGATAATAAAAAAAAAGACTTTAAATATTACAATTATAAGAAGCCAAACCACATGGCAAGAAACTGCAGATCACCTAAAAAGTCTACTATTCCACCACCAAAAGATAATTACACTATGGAAAAAGACAGCAAGACTATCTTAATAATAAAAAGAGACTTTATAGCTAAAGAAAAAAACAAATACCCTTACTACCAGTCAGAAGCTAAACTATTAGATAATTCCAATACATTAGCTAAAGAATTTAAAATACCTAACCAATAAACAATCCCTCAAGAAGACTTTCAATTAACTAGAAACATAGATAAAGTAAATACTGAAATAGACAAAGATTTCAAATAGCAAAACTATAGACGCAACTATAAGCATAATAATAACATCTAAAGACAACATAATAACCCAACCCCAGAAGTTAACCAACTATTTAAATTTCAAAATTACATCATTAAAGCCCAAGAACCTTTTAAAAACAACACTCCTTCATTTCTATATAGATGGTTATCCAAACTCTAACAGCAAGAAGTAAAAGGACAACTCATCCTTCAAGCTATTACACTAGACCAAGCCCTACAACAAAACCTTAGTTATAAAAGAAAATTCAAGGATATTGATCGTATTAATCCAGACCATCTAGGACACTATTGTATTAGCTAAGTTAACTATATTACACACTAATGTATAGAACATTTTAACAACAAAAAGAAGCACAACACCTTTTCTATTAAAATCCCATTTCTTCCTATCACCCATACACACTCTTACATACACTTTTTATTATAGGATATTAAGTAAAGGTTTAAATCCCTTAAGGTAGTTATCCTAGGAGAAGGAGAATACATAAAACCAAATAAATTTACAGAAGCCTATAAAGAAGCCTTCTGCAAATATCATAAAGCTCAAAAACTCTTCACATAGCATAAGAGAGAAAACGCCCAAGAAGAATGCAATAAAACCGATTTTTTCAACTGCAAAAATCCAAAATGTACACAACATGCAGAAATTAAGATTTTAAACTAGCATAATCCAAAAAACATAGACAGTCTTCTATAAGAGGGCAACAGAAAGACTTAAAATACATTATATCTCTCAAACCAGACGACAAATACAATAGTAAGAAAGAAGAAAAAAGAACATTTAAAAAAATATTATATAATGTATTTTTAAACAGGGAGCCTCTCACAGTCCTAATAGACAGTAGGTCGTAATACAACTATATGTCTGCCACAACTGCAATATGCCTGCAGTTACCAGCATATAAAAAAAAGAAAAAGTATCAGTTATAACATACAGAAGGAGCGCACTTCCTTTATAATAATAAATAGATTAAACAACAGACTAATCACCTATTAATAAATATTAAAAATTGCATTACTAGAACTATATGCAATATAGCTAATATCCTACAATACAACCTTATTCTAGGGATACCCTAGTTAAGCAAACATAATCCCAATATAGACTGGAAAACCAGCCAGATTTATTAGCAAAATAATAAAATCCTAAAAAAAAGGAAATCAGGTAGCCAGAAGCCTAAGATTTTCCTTAAGCCCACTACAACACCTCTTCAATACATTAAAAAAAGAAAGAAGACATTAAAACAAAGAATGTAAAAATATATTGCTATTTTACGCCAAGAACTAATGCTACTAAACCAAGAACTTAAGAAAATTAAACAATCCAACGATCCACTAGCATAAGTTCTAAAACAATATAGGAAGTATAGAAAACTCTTTAAAAAACAATTAAAAGAAGGACTTCCACTACATTCAGAATAAGACTATAAAATAGTCCTAAAAAATAAAGCCTCTCTAAAGTTTTACAAGATTTATAATCTTAGCAAAATAGAACTTAAAACCCTTAAAAAATAAATTAAAGTACAACTTAAAAAGGGATACATCTAAATCTCTAAATCCCTAGTTAAATACCCCATTATCTTTATACTAAAGAAAAATAGCAAACTATAGTTAATCATTAATTATAAAGAGTTAAACAAAATAACCATCAAAGACAAAACCCCGCTACCCTTAATCTCACAAATTAAGAACAGACTATATAAGAAAAAATAGTTTATAACTCTTAACCTTACAAAAGCTTACAAGCTTACTAAAATAAAGAAAGAATATGAATAAATAACTGCATTTGCAATAAAATATAGATTATATAAATATATTGTTATGCTACAGAGACTTACAAATACACCTGCATCCTTCTAGAAAAGAATAAACCACATGCTTAGACTATACTTAAATAATTTTACAATTATATATATTAACAACATTTTAATCTTTTTAAACACCCTTAAAAAATATAAAAAATACATCTATCTTATACTATAAAAGCTTAAAGAAAATAAACTCCTTATTAACCCCAAAAAATATATATTTTATTCTTAAAAAGTTAACTTTCTAGGATATATTATTACACCTAAAGAAATTTACATAAACCCTAACAAAGTTAAAGCAATCAATAAGTGGCCAATACCAACTACGCTTAAAGAATTATAAGCATTCCTTAGACTTATAAATTACTACTAAAAATTTATTAAAGACTTTTTACTAAAAGCAATCCTGCTTACTAATATAACTAAAAAGGATAAACCTTTTAAATAAAGGGAGGAATAGCAAAAAGCCTTTAAAGAACTTAAAAAGGCTATTACTTTAAAGACAATTCTTACTATATTTAACCTAAAGAAACCTATTATAATTAAGACCAATGTATCAAATTTTGCAATTAAAGGGGTTTTAAGTCAACCAGGCAATAACAGCAAACTTAAACCTATTGCATTCTTTTTATACAAACTTAATAAACTAATGCTATAATATCCCACCTATAATAAAGAAATATATACTATATTACAAACATTTAAAGAATAAAGACATTATTGCTATAAAAGTAAACATAAGATCACTATCTACACTAATTACAAGAATATTTTATACTTTACTACTACTAAAGAGCTCTCCAGCCAATAAATTAAATACTTTAAATTCCTATCATAATTTAATTATAAACTTATTTATTATAAAGGCATAGAAAATAAAAGAGCTAATGCACTAAGCAGAAAAAGTAACTATAAACAAAACATACCAGAATTTACAGCACAAGCACTACACTATAATAACAAAAGAAACATTAAGCAAGTATATATTTACGCAATATTTAAAGTACTTAAAGAAGACCCAATGCTTAACAAAATCAAAGAATATATAAAAAATCATAAAAATAAAGAATATCTAGAAGGAGTAACTATAAAAGAAGAATACCCTGAACGCAAAAGAAAGATTTAAGTACCTAAAGAGTTAAAAAGGGATATAGTAAAATACATTTATAAGCACCTGCTGTATAAATATAAAGGGATATAGAAAATATATAATTAAGTCCTTACATACTATAAAGTAATTAAACTTAAAGCATATATTTAATATATTATATTATACTACAGCATATGCCAATAGATAAAAGACAGAAGACATAAACTATATAAAAAACTACAACCGCTGCTAGTAGTAAAATAACTATAAGAATTAATAACATTCAACTACATCACCAACCTACCCCTCTCTACCAAACCCTTCATAAAGGTAAAATATAATAGCATTTTTATAGTAGTCTATTGCTTTTTAAAAGAAGCACACTTCTTGCCGCACAATAAATCACATACAGCAGAAGACCTTACTTACACCTATATAAAAATAATCACTGTAAATCATAGACTACTAAAAGAAATAATATTAAATAAAAGACAAACATTTGCCTTTAAATTTTAGCAGAAACTCATAGCTAAACTAGGAATAAACCATAAATTAAGTACTGCATACCACCCTTAAATAGACAGACAAATAGAATACATTAATTAAATCATTAAAGCATACTTAAAATGCTACATTAACTTTACATAAGACAATTAGGTAGAAAAATTACCAGTAGCATAATACTATTATAACAGCATACCTTTAGAATCTACAGAAATTATACCATTTTACGCAAACTATAGATTTACACCAGAAGCATTTAAACTACCATAAGAAAGACCTAACTCTAAAAAAGCAAGACTGCAAGCAGAATTAATAATTAATTTATACAAAGAAATACATACACAACTTAAATTTATCTAAGACAGAATAAGGAAATATATAGACCAAGATAGAATTACAGGACTAATTCTCCAGAAGGGAGATATAGTTTACCTATTACAGCACTTACAAGGCCATAAATTGCTAAATATCAAGACCAATAGGCTAAGTAACAAGTTAAATATTAAAAAAATAAAACTTTATGAAATCCTTAAATAAATTAAAGAAGTTAATTATAAGCTAGTATTGCCAGATATAATAAAGCTTTAAAGCCTAGTGTTTTATATATTATAACTAGAAAAAGCATAAGTTAATAAACTTACAGAAAGACTTATTTTAGATAAAATTATTATTAAAGATAAAGAAAAAGAATATAAAATTAAAAAAGTACTTGCTATACGCCAGAACTCTAAAACCAATAAAACAGAGTACTTTATTAAATAAAAAAAATACTTAAAATTAAAAAACTCATGGAAACTAAAAGAATACTTTAACTCCCATAAGCTAATAAAGAAGTTCCTTTAGTCTATAAGGTTAATGGATTAAAATCAGCCAGTACAGCGTTCCAATTAATTACATTAACACCCCCGCTAAGCTAAACATTAATCACCACCTTTAACTCAGCACACTCTGCCTTATCTAATTTATTAAGACTCTTTAAGCTGCAATTTACCATCTCCGCCCCTTAAGTCACTAAAGATTTACATTAAGAACAGATATATAATAACCAAGACAAGGCCTTAGCGGCTTTTTACTAATACTTAGCAAGCTGCTTAGCAGCCTCCTTTTCTTCCAAACGCAATCATTTATACTCAGAAGTTATGTAATTTACTATATTATTAGAACAATAAGACACTATTATTTCAGAAAATAAACTTATAAGCTAATAACAGAACACCCATCCTGTTATAAGAATGACTGCAATGCATACACTCCTTGCAATATATTACACCATCCATTATTTTACAACAGTCGCCCATGCTATAACATTTACAAAAAAAACAAGCCATTATAAAAAATCCCAATTCCTTAATAATAGCAGCTAAAGAAAAGCACTTACATGTTTTCCAGGATACTGGTTTAGATATACAGTTAGGCATTATAAAAATCACAAAAGGAATCTAAAAGAAAAATTACCTTAATAAGCTAATGCAGGAAGGGCCTCTTTATAGGCCTTAAGGACAAGACCAATAAAAAGGGGGCATTGTATTACAACCTAAACATTTATTTATACATTAGCTAAGCAAGAGTATATACTCTAGGAATAACTATAAACTAACAGACTAATTACAAAAGGATTACGGTTTATAGATATCCCTGTTAGATCATCAAGTGAGCCATTATAAGCCTATGCAAGAGTAATTTAACCATAAGCCATCTAAAACGACTTACTATATAAGAACCATTTATTACGCTTATTAAATAGAACTTAAATAGTCAGTCATTAATATAGCACTCTTAGATAACAATTAGATTAGTTATTTATAACCTCGTTAGCTATGTGACTGCATCGCTTATAAGACTCCAACTCATCTCTCTGCCAACATAAACCCAACGTTGAGTTTATAGATTGGGAACCTACCCTATACCTAAGTACGATAGTATAGGCCAGGACGTTACACTTCTAAAAGAAGCTTTTATTTATTTCTGCTTAGGAGATGTTGTAATAGGTAAAGTAGTTTACTGGCTGTTTTAATCTATAGGTTAGAGGCAGGCTGATGAAGGAAGAAGAAAGGAAGGAAGGAAGGAAGGAAGGAAGAGGAAGGGGGAGAAGTTCTTTATAAGCCCTCAGGCAGCCGACATCGGTTATGTGGATCGGGCGTGACTTCCATTTACTGGTCTGTTTGTAAGGAGAGGTTAAAGGGGCCTGAACTATAGATTATAACAGCTGGAAATGAGCCCAGTATCTAGGAGTTAAGCAAAGGGGCATCTTACTTAACTACTAGCAGCAGAGAACCTAATTAATAAACTATAGCGGTCAGCAGTATTCTATAGTAAAATAGAAGATTGAATTTAGATAATTTACTTTATTATTTATGCTTTAGAGCGAAGATAATAAATAGTTAACTGCTAGAAGTTTAATTTAAGCCTTTAGAATGAAGAGTGTAGCGCAGCTATTTTAATCTACAGTCTAGATTTAAACCATAGGTTAAAACAGCCATATATAAACCCCCTTCTTCACTAAAAAGAGTATTCTTAAACCTATATTAGCTAGGAAATATATAAGTTTTATTTTTCCTTCTGTTACTATTAAGCAGACAGAAGAAAGGATAGAAAACCTTAGCCTATAGTGCAAGGCTTTTTACTTTTAAAACTTTATAACGTCGCTAGTTAAAACCTTTTGTTTTTTCTCCTAATGTTAACCTTAAAGAGGAAGGCCGCGGCTAAGCTAGCAACCCCAGTTGTTAAGCCTAATGCTAGGAGAGCAATAAAGAATATAACTAATAAGTCTAAAATAACAGTCGCTGGTATTAATACTCTGCAGAGCTTGCAGGCCGACCCCATAAAGATCTTAAATAATGCTAATAGTAATAAAAATCTCTTTAATATAAAGGACGCCAGTAAAGAGGCTAATACTGGCAAGGGCATAGAGTTAAAGTCATTGGCTAATGGCTTATAGAACTTTAAAAAGGATAATATAGATAATAGTAAGTCTAATGCTAAAGGTATATTCCCCTCTTTTAGCAAGCTGCTGTATAGCAATAAGATTATTAATGTCACTGCCTTGCTTTAACAGTAGCTAAAGTTATAAACACTATTATATATATTAGATATTTTAATCTTTATATAGTTATACTTCTATTATCTTTATTATCTTTATTATCTCTATTATCTTTATTATCTCTATTATCTCTATTATCTTTATTATCTCTATTATCTTTATTATTTTTATTATCTCTATTATCTCTATTATCTCTATTATCTTTATTATCTCTATTATCTTTATTATCTTTATTATCTTTATTATCTCTATTATCTCTATTATCTTTATTATCTTTATTATCTCTATTATCTTTATTATCTCTATTATCTCTATTATCTCTATTATCTTTACTACTTTTACTACTTTTACTATCTTTACTGCCTTTATTATCTTTATTACTTTTACTTTTTAAGTATTATATTTAATTAAATAACTTTATATTATAGGCTAATTACTTTACCAGCCAATGGCTAGGTTATTCACCTAAGAAACAGAGATGTTAAATAATAACCCCCTATACTATAAATTAACTAACCCTAAAACTCTATACCTATTAATACTAAAGAGCAGCCAGCAAGACCTTAAGATATACCAGATGGCTAAGCAGGCGATAGTAAATTAGTTGATTATAAAGATGCTAATGTATAGCGTAACTTTAATGTTATTACTTATAATTTCCTTTACCTTTAAGATAAAATTAAACACTAATATAATTAGGGGCCTATTGGGGTCTCTGGCCTTAAGCTTATTAGCGCTGTAGACCTTAAAGAAGTATAGAAATCTAAAGTAGAATACTTTTATATTAGAGCTAGCGCTCTCTGCAGTATATATAGTGCGCTTCTGCTTAATGTCTATAACTTAAAAGGTAGTTAGCTAGCTGTTTTAATCTATAGGCCAGAGGTATATTAATGAAGAAGGAAGGAAGGAAGCTTAAGACTATTATAGTAAATAAGGCTGGTTTAAATCTATAGGCAGGGACTATATAATGTAAACGGCCGCCTACCCTTTTTAAATATAAAGTCCCTCCAGCCCTTACTCTATTACTTTCTTCTTTTTTTATTAAATATCTCCTCTTAGCCTGCTACTATAGGCCCCTTTTAATCTATAGATTAAAATAGCCCTCTGCCTTTTATTAACCCCTAAGACTTAAAGAGGAATTCTACTATTGCAGTATAAGCAACCTGCTTTATATAATAGCCTGGTTAAATAACTATTACACTAGGTGGGTTTTTAAACAGGGCGGGTTATATTAGGTTAAAGATCCTGGCTAATATTAATTCTAGAGGTATAATAAAAAAAATCCCTAAACCCTATATAAATATTATAATCTTTTAATATAACCTAGATAGATTGTCTGTCTACTTAAGCAGCATTACTATATTAAATATAGCTATTAAATATTACTCTAGCTGGCTTTTATTATTAAAGTATATTCCCTTTAAGAAACTTATAAAGTTTAATTATAAGTTAGTGCACTTTTTATTACTGCTGCAATAGCCCATCTAAACATGGCCTAAGATCTAGCTTATTAATAAGGTTAAGAAATTATTAAAGTATAGATATAATAAGCGCAAATGCTATAATAGTGAAGTATTTAAATTAGGTAAGATAATTCTTTATAAAGTACCTAATAGCTATTCTATAAAGCATAAGAAAATGTTTAAATTAAACTATCCTTTAGAGGAATAGAAATTAAATAACTTAGCGTTTATGTTTTTTAAACAGGCACTTAATAAACTGCCTTAGCTAATGAACCTTAGAGTTAGATTAGTTAATGTGCTGGTCTATGTATAAATAAAATGCATATATATATAGGGCTATAATCTATTTAAAGAAGAGCATAATGCTTGCTAGGCATTAGGGTAATATTATTAATAGCTAAGGGATAGATACTTAAATAAGATTTACTTTATTTACTATTATAGGGTGTATATAGGTTATATAAACCATTAATAATATTTAAACTTTAAATAAATAACTTAATATAAAATTAAAAAGTTTATATATATAACTTAAGATATAATAGAAGGGCGCCTTTTTAATCTATAGGCTAGATTAAACTGCCTGTCTATATAAACTATAGGCTGGGTTTACTTTAAACTATAGATTAAGCTAAGGTATTATACCCAGCGGACCTATAGATTAAAAAGGCCGGGTGTATTCCTTTTACTGGTTAGCATCTAGTAGATATAACTTAAGGTTATATAGACTATGCTTTATTTATATAAACCTAAAAGTAATAATAATACCCCCTTAACTTTTATATATATTGCTAAGGAATTTAATAAAAAGTCTAAATATAATAATAAACTAACACCCCTTTGCCTGCATTAATAAAGCTAATCCATCTACTATATCTCCTTTATATTTCTAAATTAAATAGCCTTATGTGCCTTTCTGTCTATGTCTTTTACTGACTTAAGTAAAATTTACCTGCTAGTTGACGATGTAGACAATGACTTAACTAATGCTACTTTATTAATGCTATTATCCGCTGCCGGCAACTGCTTGTAATTATAGTAATTATATAATATTACACTGCCCTGCTGTATATTTACACTAGGGTTAATAATTATTTATTTAACTATAGGTATACCTGGCTCCTAGCACTAAGCAATCCTTTTTATATTTTCTCTAGTAATACACTTAATGTATTTAGGGGTTTTTATAAAGAATACTGCTAACTGCAAGTAGAACAGGCCCTTGCGCCAGACTTTATTAAAGTTATACCGGTCCTAGGGGACTTTTGCTATAGGATATTAGTTAAACTCCTAGCTAAATATCTCTTTTAGGAGTTTATAGGCATATATTAAGCGCAGTTGGCCGGTGATCTAGTTAAGGATGTTACCCTTGGCTGTAAGCACAACAGCCTGCTTATGCATTAGCCTTGACTTCTGGTATAAGTTAAAGGAGTTAGATGTCTTTATAATGTTCTAGTTAATGGTGCCTGCCTGCTTAACACCCAGGCGCTAGAGCCAGCCGATTGTCTACAACACCGTAGGCGCATTCAGCAGTTATTTAATAATTATGCTGCTTCTGTATGTATAGTGCAGGTTTATCCTAAGGGACCTAAGCGCTATAGAAATAATAAAGCAGTTAACCTTCTTCTTAAGGTTATTAAAGCGCCTCTGTGCCTTATCCTGCTTAGCTAGGCTATAGGTGCTTTTTATTTAAAGGATAATAAGGCCTAGGTGGTGGAGGAGCGTAGATAAGATTCTGGTAAAGTAAGGTATTAGTAATTTATATATGCAGAGGGTTAAGGGGATAGGAGCGCCTAGGGCTAGACAGTAATATCTATATTTAAATTAAGGGATAGTAGTAATAAATTAGTATATACTTGCTCTTTATAGAGAGCTAGAGTGTATAGGATATAGTATAGAATAGCTTAAGCAAGCA